TAACGAGTAACAATATCAGTGTTTTGTCCATTTACAATAGTGAACTTTACTACAATTTAGAAATTTCAAACTAAATACGCTAATACATTTTTTAGTAATAACAATGATAATCATGCAAGTGACTGTAACCGGTGTAACCTTAGTCTAATCTTGGTAACAGATTTTGTTCATAGTGTTTAACTAAGTTAAGCACGTAATCTGAATTCCAAATTGTCGTATTCATATTTATTTATTCCATATTTTCCAGGGTAAATATTAACAGTTAATTAAATACAACTGAAATACTTATGTTATTATAACAACATTGTGTTATCCGTATTGTTTACTCTTTATTGTTATTCCTGAAAGTCTTACATGATGAAAATTTAACATAAAGACTCCTGATATTGTTCTGGTATTAATCAATATTGTATAATCTTAAGCATAATTAAAGATAGGATAAATCACTTATTTAGTTTTCTTTGACTGTTAGAAGCTTTAGTGAAAACAACCTTTTCTAAAAGTATCAATATTACCCAATATGATAGACAAAAATCTTATTAATTTACCGAAATATTTGTCAAGAAGTGATAGGATTTTCTCTACAAATTACAGGACTTGACTTTTAACTAGGAAACTAAGAAAAATACAAAGTTTGACATTTTTACTGAATTTATTAAGAGTATTTTATACCCATGAACATTTTATATGAAACTACGGGTATGGAAAGCATCTTATTCAAATAAAAAGTGGTATATGGTTACATAGGAACAGAAATTTTATGTTTACAGGTTGTATTAGCTGGTTTCGTTCCTTTTACTAGTTAAAAAAAAATAAAACATACAAAAGTAATAGAATTCTCCTGATGACAGGTGAGAATTTAGCATGCATCAATGTCCCTAAAGGCTAGAAAGTTTATCTTCTTATTATGTAACATTATTCACTTTCCACTTATAATAATAACCAGAGATCAACCGTCGACACACAGTATCTACATTCTATAGAATACACTCTAAGTCTGTCATGAAATTCGTCTGTAAATCCCATTTGTATACAGTACTACTTTTTACTGAACTCTATTTATTTTAAGACCATAAGTGCACATTCACAAACTGTGTGAGAAATAGCAATTTCAAATGAATATCGTTCGCAAAGTAAGAGACTTATTCTTGTATTTTTGTGTATTTCATTTACTAAAGTAATTCGAAACAATCACCGATTCTGTTAACTATTGATTTATAGGTTTAGTCAATAAAGTAATGCTATGTAAATCTATTTTTAAAACTATACTTTATAACATCATTAACACTTTCTAGTAATTATATTGTAGGTTATTCTAGCATTTGGACAAACCAATCTGTTGGTTCTTCTCAAGCCACATCTTTACCCTGTCACTTATTCGCTTATCAACCTTGACTGTTTTTATGTAAGCATATGTGTGTGCATTTCTTATCTTACTCATCACATGTCTCTAACTTATTTTTGTCTGACTATAAATATCGATTCACGCTTGGTTAAATCGAGTTGGCTCACACACCTCCGTCGCACATCATTTTGTTTTCGCTTTCTGATCACCGATTGTATGAAATATACGTATTCAAAAATCCATTCTCGAATTCGACTTATTTTAATTCCATCATTCACTAACGCGAGTTAAATTGATAATTATATACGAGGATTGGCGACATGTATATTTCGATAACAAGCAGCAAATGACCTTCCATGAGTCAGATCTCGGGCCACTAAAATACTGTTGATGTCCATGGTCAATATTTTCAGTACTGTTAGGCATTTTCGTTACATAGACACTGAAGTAAATTTATAGACTGGTAAAATACTAGCTAGATAGATTACTAGATAATTAACTTGTGCATCGAGCTTTCGGAGGATTATTTTGCTAAGTACCTAGGTAATAACTGGTCACCGACATCTTCAAAACTTCGACTCAATAGGTCAACGTATTAATCTAATTAAGTCAAAATCCACTTATTAGTTGTCCTTTAAGGTATTCCGGCATTCAAAGTTAAGATACTTTGCACTGAACCTGTTTTAGATATTTGAAAATCTGTTTGAAGTTAACGACAAAGATATTACTTTAAACTGAACAATCAATGCAAAAAATAAGTTGAAATTATAAGTACTCAAGAAGAAAACTCATAAGGTTTAAATGGAAAAAACAGTGTTGAAATATTTAATGGCGTCAGTAATATTTTAGAGATGAAGTAAGTGGAAATTCATAAAACATATCAATATTATTAAATTTCAGAGTCCCATTAAGAAGATGATCTTCGAAGCTTATCAGTGGATAAAGTCCAGAGACTGATTCCAGTTGGTATCAGTTGTGACTGAAATAAATATTTATCTAAGATCTCACTTACAGTTTGAAAAATTGTGGTGTTTGTATGAACTAATGATTCCTTTGAGCTTGTTGACTGTTGGATTTCGAATTCCAAATACAGTACATTCGTTTGTGCCTATCTAGTACTTCTTGATTAAATTTCGTTATTTCTTGGATTCTTAGTTTGTACTATAATTCAAATACTTCTAATTGTCACATTAGCATCTCGATAAAGCCTCTGATGGAATGGTTGGACATTCATTCAGATTTTGATGTTTTTGAGGATTACTTGGAAAGGTTCGAAATCTGGGCTATGACCAAGGAAGATGTTGATGATTTTAATATTATAGCACATTTCCTCATATTCATCAGAAAAGAAGCATAGAACTTATTAAAAACTCTGGCTTCACCAGAAAACCCTATTTCGCTTCCTTATGCAACTCTCAAGGAACTACTACTAGACTATGTTAAGTACAGCAATTTCGAATGCGGCAAAGGGGGAAGATTTCGTAAAATGATTCAAAAATTCCACTACCATAATACGTCATCCCAATCCAGTGCGTACTCAAGGTTATGCAGATAATTTATTGAGGAGTTGCGATGCAGTTCACAAAGGTGGGCACAAGTTTGGTTAATGTTTGTCCTGTAGCAGGTTCCACTCATTTAATTCATGTGTTTATTTTATAATTTTAAATGCTTTAAATATGATGTTGAACCAATTCAGTCAGTTTGTAATACTACGGTTCATTTCTCTACAACTAATGCTAAAATTTGTAATTGTGGTCCTATTAAGTAGGGTGTTTCTAATGATCATTTATCTTTGTCCACGACTTCGAAAAGCGGTATAGAGTCACATAGCAGTCCAGAGTTAAATGAAACTCAGAATCACTGTGAGACGAAGGTTTCTAATCAACCAACTTAACAGATTTCTTATATTATTGTACCAGATATGGTTTGTCCTAATGATTCACATGTTTCTGATGAAATTCCTTGTAAATCTGAGGAAAATATGTTGAGTGAATCAAGTTATGATCGAAAACCTGTTACAGTTTTGATAGGTGCTGATTTTTCTAATGATCCATTATTCTTTAATGAAATTCTTATTAAATTTGAGGAAACTCTTTCAGAAGAATCAAATCTCGATGTTATATCATATATTACTTATACTCATAATGCATTTGTTTCTTGTGGGAAACTTGTTCAATGCGAAGCACGAGTACTAAAGGAGCTCGACTATGATTACAATTCGGATGATTTCATATCAACTGGTGTTTATTCTTATCATAAAGTCACTTCTAATGAATACTCTAGTCAATGTGCGAAATATGTTATAAATGAAGCCACATTATTCATAACTTGGGGATATGAAGATCCAACATTATTTCGTGGGAGAGGATAATGCTGGAAGATCTATGATTCAAATTCTAGATACCAGTAGTTTCGCTACACAACCAACATGGTGATTGTATACAATTCCAAGACCCAGGTAAGTCCGTTCCAATTGCAGTTGTTAATCCTAATACTAATGAGTACATTCTAGATCATACAGAGTCTACATTCAATACACTGTCGCACAGACATAGGATCAACATAAGGCGAAGACGTAAATAAATTACAGACAGTTATATTCCAATTTATGCTGTGGAGGATGTAGTGTTTGTATAAACTAACGATTCATTTCTACTTTTTGAATGCTTGATTACAAATTCCAAATACAATACATTCATTCGTGTTTATCTATTACTTCTTGATTAAATTACGCTATTTCTTAAATTCTTAGTTTGTACTATAATTCAAATACTTTTAATTATCACAGGAATTTAAGAAAATTCTACAAACGATCTTCAATTCATAATGTAAATTAGTTAAAGTATTAAATTCAATCAAAATTCCACAAAAGAACAGATCATGGTGGAAAAGATTTGTAGCTCAGGTGGATGATTTTGATGGAGTTTCGTTCTCTAAGCTGGATGGTTTGGTCGTAGAAGAACTATAAAAGCTCCACGACTAAACCGTCTATCTCAGAGAACAAAACTTTATCAAAAACTTCTAATCATCATCCCTGCACCCTTGTATAAATATTTTTTTCTTTTTTCATAATCAATAAAATAAGCTAATTTTACATCGATTCTTTTGTCACATAAATGCTTAAATGATTGCACAACATTTTATTGATTTTATATATATGACAAGTTATTATTACATTTTATTATTATTATTATTGTTAAGTAATCAGTATTATTTATTTTATCGCATAACTTAACCCTTAAAATTATTTAACTTTGGTAGAAAATATTCATTGAAGAGTTATTGCTTGCTTGAATTTTATGCCTTTTTTCTCTCTTTTGTTTTATATTTAAGCGAACTTCATTCATCAAAATAGATTTTGATTAATGATTATTTATATACATTAAATAATAATGCTATCGATAATCAATATCAATCAGATGTGATATAGATATCTTGATGTTATTAATAATCAATACCATTTTCATTTACAAAATACCAATCACAAGGTACTTTAAAAGTGCTCTTTTATTAATTTTTAAAAAAAAAAAGAAAAACACTATTACTGCTTCATATCTGTTGTATCCATTAGATGTTAATAAATATTTACGTATGTATGATGCTGATTGATAAAATTGTTTTTTTTTTAAAACTTTGATAAAAACAAACCATACTGTCACATTACAATAAATGATGCCAAATAGTTAATTGTAAAATTTATCACAATATTAATGTTATAATAGGATGTCAGTTCATATGATGATGATGATGATGATGATGATGATGATGATGATGATGATGATGATGATGATGATGATGATGATGATGATGATGATGATGATGATGATGATGATGTTGATGATGATGATGATGATGATGATGATGTTGATGATGATGATGATGATGATGATGATGATGATGATGATGATGATGATGATGATGATGATGATGATGATGATGATGATGATGATGATGATGATGATGATGATGATGATGATGATGATGATGATGATGATGATGATGATGATGATGATGATGATGATGATGATGATGATGATGATGATGATGATGATGATGATGATGATGATGATGATGATGATGATGATGATGATGATGATGATGATGATGATGATGATGATGATGATGATGATGATGATGATGATGATGATGATGATGATGATGATGATGATGATGATGATGATGATGATGATGATGATGATGATGATGATGATGATGATGATGATGATGATGATGATGATGATGATGATGATGATGATGATGATGATGATGATGATGATAATGATAAGACATTTTTAGAATAGATATAAACAAACATTTAATATGATATAATAGAAGATAGTTTATGAATATAATCTTAAACTTTCTTTATGTTTGCGGATATTAAGTTTAAAAAGTTGACTGATGAAATGAACGGTAGTAAAGATAAAAGTATTTAGTTGAACAACTACATCTTTTTATATCTTAAAAATGACCAATAGAAAAGAATAAGTACTGAGAAGCAATTCACTTATCATTATTAAATTAGACAGAATGACCAATTCATTACTGTTATAATTTATAAATAAAGATGAAAATGGTTCAACTTTCAGATAAACAACAAATTATCATTACAAACAGTGTGATTCATACTACAATACTATGAACAATTAAATCTATTTATTGTCCGGTGAAAAAGTGTATAAATGTTCTATATTCACTCCACTTCATATCTTATAAGAACATTAAAAAGTTTATTCATCAACTATATTCAAAACCTTATTCAGTCAGTCAGAACTGAAAATTCCCAGTATATTCTCACCAAGACATAATCTATTAGTTTTGATTAGAATGTTTACTTCTTCATGGAAAATTTTTAAGAAAAAATTGTTTATCAGCAAGATTTCCTAGATCAGTGAATGACAGATCGGTTCGCTGTGAGATTAATTAAATATCAAAATAATTAACAAATACCAATTAAAGAAAACTATATCTCAACATTTCCATATTCGAATGCATATGTATATATTTAGATGAAATAACTAATTATATTATGAATTTTGTTTTACATTAGCGGTCATTTATGCAAAGAAAGGATGAAAAGAAACCTCACAACATAAGTAGTCCATCATTTTCGTTAAATATTAAACCAAAAACCTAGAATTTCAAGTGACATTTACTGAAGGGGATTTTTAAAGATTTATATAATTTCTAGATAATTTTTCAACAAAAACTGATGTGATTCAATGACATATGATATTACATTGACAACAACAGTTAAATTTTATTGTTATACTGTAACTTCAATCTAAGTTTGTCAGCTATAACGTAGGACCAGGCATATAGTTGCATCGGTCCAAGTTGCCACACCTCATTAGCACAACAAGATCAATACCAAATTAATAGAAGTAATCACGTCAGTGGTAGTAATACATTAAAGAAAGATTATGTATAAGGATATAGTACAGGAAGAAAGAATTAGTTCGTAGAAAGAAATATATGAAGCAATTTTAATCTCTTAGTTTAAGGGAAGACAAAGAATGCATTCACTGACTCCATTGTGATCAATCCTCAGCCATGTCATACAGAGTCTTCAAACATTAGTTACTATATTCACGCGGACCAACATGGCTCAGACTAGCAGTTAGTGACTTCAAGCACTGATGCCACGTTTTGGTTTGACCACCCCTTACTTACTTCCAACCATCTCCAACACCGGCTACCATTGCACGTCGTGGTAATCGGTGTTCACGCATACGTAACACATGGCCCAACCATCTCAGTCGATGAAGATTCACAACCTCATCTACTGATTTACCATCATTCCCTAATACCCTGCATCTAACCTCACTATTACTTATCCGGTGATCCCAGCAGATGCGGGCAATATTTCTAAGATATCTGTAATCAAAATCTACTAATTTATGAGTATCTTCTACCCTAAAAGAACGGAACAAACTGCCACACTATATATTCGTCCCTTAATTAATAGACGGATATCTCGCCTTCGTCATAGGTGACGTAAGTTGGCAAAAGCCAGACGAGCTTTCTGAATCCATGCTGAGATTTCGTTAGACACCAACCCATTAAGGCTGATTAAACGCCCAAGACACGCTTAAATACTTCAGTCACTACCATTAGTTCAGGTGCCGATGCAACGCAATCATGAAGCAACAACTTACATTTATAGGATAAGAAGTGCATCCCAAGCATTCTGGCCTCGTTTCTCAGTGCTACCAAAAGAATCTGCATTTTATCATCGTCTTCACCAAACAGGACTATATCATCTGCGTATTCTAAGTCGATAAGTGGACCTCCTGGTAGGAGGTCAATTACTGAAAATCCAGTCGACAAGAATGTTATTTCCATCAATAGGACTATTATGAAATTGAACAAAAAAGAAGATAGTGGACAGCCCTGACAGACACCAGTTGCGGTTGCAAAAGCAGATGACAGTTCTGCATAAGCTCTCACTCGACTGGTACCATTTGAGTAAAGAGACTTCACAAGGTTTAGGTACTTCTGATGTACGCCTATTAATGACAGACAATGTCACAGTACTTCTCGGTCCACAGAGTCAAATGCTGCTTTTAAGTCAAGAAAGACCATCATTGTTAGATGCCGTCAAGCATGTCTGTGTTATAAAATCTGACGAATAGTGAATATGTGGTCGATGAAGCCACAACCAGGTCTGAAGCCAGCCTGATTTTCTCTTGTTTGCAGTTCACGAGTCATTGTTAGGTGCTCGATAATTATTGAGGTCAGTATTTTAAATGCCATATTAGTCGAAATAATCCCTCTATGATTATCACAGGATGATTGTGACCCCTTCTCATATATTCGGACAATCAGTGATTGTGACCAGTCAGATAGAATTACGTCCAACTCCCAGATTTTAGCCAAAATATTAATCAACCTAATCGATAAGACTGGACCACCATCCTTAAAGACCTTTGGAGCGAATTCATTCGGACTAGTTGTTCTTCCTCGTTCCAGGTAAGCTGTAACTTTAATTTATTTTTATTAAATTAATAGAATCTTCTTCATTAAATCATTTGTTCTCGGACACATAACTTAAGCTTTTATTTTAGAAGAAAAAAGTACAAATAGGTAAACAACAATAATTTAAATGGTAAACATATGAACTTATTCCATATGATCATCACAAATAAAATGTCACTAGTTCAACTAGCACAGAAAACTCAATAATAATTCTTTAATTAATTATGATGAGTAGCTGGAATCTATAAATAACAATAAGAAAAAAAGAAACAAACTTTTATGGTCAGTTAGATCTTGCGATGCAGGTAAACAATCGTATACAGTTGTTAACAAACACAACAGAAATGAAATTCCTTTGTTTCTCTTTTTTTCTTTCTTTTTTCTTAAATAAATAAAACAAGGTCAACTGAATACTGGTCTGACTATTCTTAAAGAAAAAAAACAACTCTAAGTAAATGAAATTATAAAATATTTCTGAACATTACTTAGCTTCATTGTTACAATCTAATTAACAACCAGTTTTTAAGTTGTATTGTTTTTATCATAGTTCACATGTAAACCATTAAATAGTGTAGATTATTATCATTATAACTTATCTATGGAAAAGTGTATAATTAAATCTTCTAACATAACAAATCTATTGAAAAATACACAGAGAAGGTTAGAATATTAAAGTATAATAAAATCATTTTTATAGTGTGTTGCCTTGACCAAAATATTATCACTATGTGAAATAACATCACTATTCATAAGTACATTTATTTTCATGTTTAATAGTGATGATTTTACAATAAATAAATAAATACGATAATTATCAGAAGGGGTTTTGTGAAGATTTTAGTAATTTCAATAGTTGAAATCATGAGTCATTTGAAGCTAGACCACCATGGAAAAACTGGAAGCACTGGACAGCCGTATGGAACTCATCAACAGTGTGCATCCACGATCCCGCTCCCCGCGAGATTCGGACCCAGGACCAATCAGTTTCGCGCACGAGCGCGATTAAGCATTAGACCACTGAGCCAGCATCCAACGGTGTGAATGTCTAACTTCAACTAATCCACGAAATTGCGACACCGTCACCATTATCTTCAATGAGCTGTGGGATCGTGGGTACGCACTGCTGAAGAGTCCCATACTAGGACGAAAAGGCCGTCTAGTGCTTCCAGGTTATCCATGGTGGTCTAGCTTCAATTGACTCATGATTTTAACAATTGAAAATACGATAATTAACAAAAATTAAGAATTTCACGACATTTCAGGAAAGAACAATTTGTGTTAACCATAGTAGATGCAGGCAAAATATAATACTAGGAACAGTTTTAAAGATAAAGGCAAGTAATTACAATCCATCAATTAATAATAAAAATAATAATAATAATCACGTTCTCGCTAATGCCCAGTTATCATAAAGAGAGCAAGGACAAAGATTGGTGCAGAATAATATGAATTCATTTTATTTCGTTAGGTTCTCATCAGCTGCTTACAGATATTAAATATCTGTAACAATGTTGAATTTTAAATATTTTAGGTTGTAAGCAGCTGATGAGAACCTAACGAAATAAAATGAATTCATATTATTCTGCACCAAACTGTGTTCTTGCTCTCTTTAAGATAATAAAGGGAACTATGTGTTCGAAATTGCCCAGTTATCAGTTGGATTTTCTTTGTTAAGTTCCAATGAGAAACTATAATTCATAGAGTCAACAAATTCAAAATTGTGACAGTTTACCACTTAGGATACTGGATGAAAAATTGATCAGTGTTCTTAACTAATTGCACCTTTTTTAATATTGTATCGTGTTATTTATGAGATGTGAAGTCATTGGTCTTGACTTCACAAGTTACGCGTGTTGAAACTGGAATCAGATTTAGACATTTATCAAATGCTTTTTTACTTTTGATATTTCTTCAGTTGGTATCTGTTTGTGATTAGGACTACTTTCAAATCAGAAATTTTTTCACATACCACCTACTTGAGTAAAATAAGGTAGATTAAATACATTGCATCATTTTGGATAAACATATTATTAATAGATTGCAAACATATAATTAATATATCCTAGAGGCATGTACATAGAACTTACCGGTAATCTCTCTACGTTTTCTTTATCGTAACAACAAGTTTTGATCCAACAAAATAAATCCCATAGATATTTTTTTTGAAACCCCACGTTATTTCACCAAGAATAATATTCTTCGATTTCTGATCTTCATGTCACTAGTTTATTGTATCACAAACTATGACATGAATTTCTGAAAGTCTTAAATAATTTGATATTACTGATATTAATTAATAATACATATTTTCTCAACAGATAACAGTAAACTAGGAAA